GTCTTCTAGTTTTGTTCATGATTACCGGTACTATATGAATCTTCTACTAATCAGTTTCACTCATCTATTTGTTTAACCCAAAGATCGAACAATGAATTTATAATAGATAGGAGGTCGGAGGGTTTCGTGTATTAGAAATTGAGCCCGAAATGAGTGTTACAAAGAAGACCGCTATAGATAGTCCGGACAGATCCCGGTCTACCTGATTACTATAGACTAGAAAGAGAGTAGTAGACCGGACAGATCTCGAGCTACTTGTTCGCTGCGAGTTAGTATGTAATGTGAGTGTTTGCGGTGTTTTCCGGTCGGCGGTGGCCTTCCGGTGAGTTCTATGTCGGAGTTAGAGACCTGAACGGTTATGCTCTGGGTCCCTTGTACTTTCCCTCAGAGAATGGAAGATCCTTCCTCACATCAGCTTATTCCCCTATTTATAGTACAAGATTTTGAGGGTACATACTATGTTACCGAATCTGACTCAGGCTTAACCAGACCGCGGTTATTGTTTGAGTTGGGCTTCCATTGTTCTCGGATCGCTGACCACCGGGTCGTAAACCATTTGGACCGCAGATTCAGGCCCAACACTATTTTTGCTATTTTGTCTTTATCAATCAAAAGACGATTGATGATTATATGGTATTACATGTTACACTCGGGTTACCAATTAAATAATTTATGAATATGATTTGCAAGAAAAACAAAAAAAATTGCAACTTTTAAACGGTAGCATTTTACCTTTGGTGTGCTCCATCTACAACCTTTTATCATTTGTGAAAAACTTTTAAGGTATTTGGATCATTCGAAACTCTCTTATTAATGAAAAAAATTAAAGTATTTTTGTTCTTTCTAAAAGGTTCAAACTGCAACTATGTTATGACCATTTTGGAGCGTTTAACAGAATCTAAGTAAGAGATACCGATCAAATCTCTTACTATTGGTATTGACAAGTTTGGTTGATCACACTGAACCAAACTAAAGAGACACAGGACTGCGAAATAAGCCGATGTAAAGTGGTATGCCAATTCGGATCAGCCGATATATCAATCAAGTCTCTTCCTATATCCATTCAAATGGAAAACTAATAAAGACGAGCAAAAAGATATGTACATATTCCGATATTGGGATAATGTCTTATGAATTATCATGATCTATGGGCTTCTATTAATTTTAGTGGTTGGAATAGAAGCCTTATTTTTTTTGGATAATGAGTAGAAGCTTTATTAATGCTATCATATCAACATACTTTTGCTTTTCTCCTTTTCTTCCCTTTTTACCTTCTTTTATTCGGTATCCAAACCTTCATTTTAAAGCCTTCATTTTAAGCTAATTCAAGAAATAGAAATTTACACTATAAGACGTCTATAATAATTCAAGAGTCAAATTTTTTAAAGAAAAATCGATATAAACTGTTTAATTAACAAGATCCATTTTAAAACTCCCAATTATATATTTCAAACTTTGAACTTTCTTAACAAAATCGCTAGGCTTCTATACAAAATTTAAAATATCAGTTCTAATGAACATCTTTCATGTATTCAGAGACACTACAAGAAAATATTCCAATTTTGACTATCAATTTAGTTTAAAATTGGTCAAAAACAGCTATTTCTGACTAATACTTGACCAAAATCGATTCGTCAAAAATTGATGGTCGCAAATGTAATTTGGTCACAAAATAGTCAAAACGTTTTGACCAATAAAAATGGTCAAAATTTTGGTTTTGACCAACAAAGTGATCAAAATTTTGATTCTGACCAATACAATCGTCAAAATTTTTTGATCAATCAAAATAGTCGGAACTATATATTTTGACCAGCTTTAAACCATATATTCTACCCAATTTTTGACCAACTTAGATATTTAATTTTTAGAACTATATTTTGATCAATTCGAAAAAATTGAAATTGAAATTTAAAATATTTGATTCATAATAATTAAAATTAAATTAAATATTTTTAAAAAATTAAAATATAAAATATTTCAAAAAAATATATTCGAAAATATAAAAATTCAAATTTAAAGTATTTGATTCATAATAATTTCAAAATATTCACTCAATCAGCGATTAAAATATTTCAAAATTCAACTATTTGTGCCATGAAACCCATTTACGTTTTTCACAATGGAGTAAGTGTTATTTTATAGAGAAAATCAAAGTTTCATTCATTCCATA